TTGCAAATGAGATACGGTGGTAAATTGAACTCCGGCGATTTCCGTGTGCAAAGGCATGTGCAGCTGGGTTCCTTGGGCAAGATGTTGCAGGTCGGTGATGGAGACAGGAGAAAATTAATGGTGTGTGGAACAAAAGCATTTCCAGTTCCGTGGGTGAGGATGTGGCGTATCCGTGATTGGTGATAGATACACGATAAATGGCGTGTATAACACTGATCGGATGGCTTGCACTGGGTATGGACGTGTTTTACTCGAAGGCTGTGCGCTGGGGAGCGAAGATGTTTGGCCGATTGGAAGCATGACCGTGGCTCCAGTGCATAGGGTGTTAGGGTTTCGATTCGGATACGGTGGTAACTTGTACCCAGGCGATTATCGTGTACAGAGGCTGTATCTTCCGAAGGCCCCTTCGACCTGCGACACGACAGGCGCGCAGATCTCATGGACACTGCCAGCAGCAACTGGAGTGCTTTGAACGAAACGGCAGACGATGACGCGCAATTAGTTGCCAAGGAAATTCAGTGATCCGGGTAGGTGCGAAGACAACTTACCGATCAGGACAAAAGAAGTGGACAACTGAAATACAGTGTTTGGATCTAATGGAAATCCTCTATAACAGTAGTCACTAGTGTATCCAATGACTATTCTCATGAGCGTGGCTTGAATAAGAGCGATATTCAACAATGTCAAGAAAAGCGCAATTCCCTATGATGGAAATGAGGATAGAAAGCAAGAAACTGCTTTTGAGAATGCGGGGTGCCTTTCTGTGTTGATGACATGGCTAGCTCGACGATTACCAAGTTCGGTCGAGGACGCGTGCAGCAACAGTCCAGTTCCCAGCGTCCGACCGATCGTTTTTAGTCAGAGTCCAGGAAGATGGCAACTCCCTATGGTGTAAAGGAAGAAAACCGGCGAGAAATTGTCCCTTAGCATACTTCATGGCCATTTCCCTGTGCAATGGGTAGAAAGCAAAATTAGACAGCATGTGATGAATCACATGAAAATGGTTAGAGATCTTGGCAGGTTGAAAATTTGAACGGGGATTTTCGAAGGGTCGATAGATGATGCAGTGTGCAGTTGCAGTGCTACCTATGAGAGGGTGTGAGCAATTCTGGATCTGTGTCACGGCTGCAGCATGGTGTTATGGGTATCACTATCAGTGAAGAGTACTGATCGGACAGAATCCACTGGGTATGCACGTGTTTTACTCGTGCGCTGGGCGTTGGAGATCGATGACTTTTTGTGGATTGGAAGGACGACCGTGCGTCCAGTGCATAGGGTGATAAGGGTTGCAAATAGGATACAGTGGTAACTTGAACTCAGGCGATTTCCGTGTGCAAAGGCATGTGCAGCTGAGTTCTGTGGGCAAGATGTTGCAGGTCGGTGATGGATACACGAGAAATGGTGTGTAGAACAAAGGCATGTCCAGTTCCGTGGGTGAGGATGTGGCGTGTCGGGGATGAATACACGAGCAATGGCGTGTAGAACACTGATCGGATGTCTTGAACTGAATATGGACGTGTTTTACTCATGGGGTGGGCGCTGGCGAGCGAAGCGTTTGGGCGATTGGAACCACGACAGTGCGTCCAGTGCATAGGGTGTTAGGGGTTGCAAGTCGAATACGGTGTAACTTGTACCCCAGGCGATATCATAATGCTAAGGCATGTCCAGTTACGTGGGTGAGGATGTGGCGTGTCCGTGATTGGTGATCGATACACGACAAATGGCGTGTAGAACACTGATCGGATGGCTTGCACTGGGTATGGACATATTTTACTCATGGGCTGTGCGCTGGCGAATGAAGAAGTTTGGGCGATTGGAAGCACGACAAAAGAAGAGGACAACTGAAATACTGTGTTTGCATTTTATGGATATCCTCTATAATTGTAGAGTCCACTAGTGTATCCAATGACTATGCTCATGAGCGTAGGTTGAATCTTGGGCGATATTCAACAATGTCAAGAAAAGCCCGAATCCCTATTGTGTAATTGAGGAGAGAATGTGGAGTGCCTTTTTTGTTGATGACATGGCTAGCAAAAACGATACTCCTTCATCAGATAATCTCGACGAGTACCTAGCGTGGTCGAGGACGCGTGCAGCTATAGTCCAGTTCCCAGCGTCCTACCGATCGTTTTTAGTCAGAGTCCAGGAAGATGGTAACTCCCTATGGTGTAAAGGAGGAAACCCGGCGAGAAATTGTCCCTGAGCATACTTCATGGCCATTTTCCTGTGCAATAGGTAGAAAGCAAAATTAGACAGCCTGTGATGAATTACATGAAAATGGTAAGAGATCTTGGGAGGTTGAAAATTTGAACGAGGATTTTCGAAGAGTCGATAGATGATGCGGTGTGCAGTTACAGTGGTACCTATGAGAGGGTGTGAGCAGTTCTGGATCTGTGTCACGGCTGCAGCATGGTGTTATGGGTATCACTATCAAGTATCAGTGAAGAGGAGTACTGATGGGACAGAATCCACTGGGTATGCACGTGTTTTACTCGTGTGCTGAGCTTTGGAGACCGAAGACTTTAGGTTGATTGGAAGGACGACCGCGCCACAAGTGCATAGGTTGATAGGGGTTGGAAATGGAATACGGTTGTAACTTGAACTCAGGCAATTTCCGTGTGCAAAGGCATGTCCCGTTCCGTGGGAGAGTGTTGTTGCGGGTAGGTGATGGATACACGAGAAATGGCGTGAAGAGCTCTGATCGGGCGGCATGCACTGGGTATGGACCTGTTTTACTCATGCGCTGAGCGCTGGCGAGCGAAGAAGTTTGGTCGATTGGAACAACGACCATGCGTCCAGTGCATAGGGTGTTAGGGGTTGCAAGTCGAATACGGTCTAACTTGTAGATCTACCCCAGGCGATATCATTATGCAAAGGCACGTCCAGTTCCGTGGGTGAGGATGTGGCGTGTCTGTGATTGTTGATGGATATACGATAAATAGCGTGCAGAACACTGATCGGATTGCTTGCACTGGGTATGGACGTGTTTTACTCGTGGGCTGTGGGTTGGCGAACGAATAAGTTTGGTCGATTGGAAGCACGACCGTGGCTCCAGTACATAGGGTGTTGGGGGTTGCAACTCGGATACCGTGGTACTAGGTACATGACTGTACTTGTACTCAGGAGATTCTCGTGTACAAAAGCTGTATCTTCGCTCCTTCTACATTCCACACGACAAGCGAACAGGCCTCATGGACAATGACCACTGAAACCTATAGTGCTTTCAGCGAAATGGCAGACGACGATGAGTTGCCAAGGACCGAGATCAATCCAAGTCGATGCGAAGACCATTATTTTACCGATCACGACAAAAGAAGAGGACAACTGAAATACTGTTTTTGGATCTCTTGGATCTCTTGCCTTGGATTTATTCTCCATAGAGTGCAGTAGTGTAGCCGATGGCTAGCTATGCTCATTAGCGTGCGTTGAACAGCGGTGTCTGTCGGTGTCTCGTGTTTCCGTGATAGGGTTGGTGGCGAATCTGGCGATGGCAGTGTCGGCTGTTGTTCCGGCGAGCAAATCTGAAGAGTAATTTTTATTGACTGTCAGTTATTTTTTTTAATTATGTGAGCCAGAGCGCGCTAAAACATGACCACAGCTTTTTTTGAAAAAGTCAAGAAAATCGCGATTTGAATTCCGCGGCAAAAAATACGAAGTGCAGTGCAACGCGAGTTGCTGTTGTTGTTCTCCTCGGTCGACTGGACTGTTCCGGATGCATTTCTTTGTTGCAAGTAAGTTTATTTGTTTGAGTTTGTATTCCATGTTGCGCTGAGTCGCCTAAAACGGATCGTCATCGATGTATCGATGGAACAGCCTAGTAGTAGTAATGTACTGCGGAGCGAAAGAAGACGACATCCTCGCACTTCATGCGCAGGATAAAATATTTTGAGGATTCGGGTCGGAAACAGAAGGAAGACGATGATGGCTACAGCGACGAGTCATTTGAGGGCGACACTTTCATCGAGTGTAAAAGAATTGAAGCTGCTAGTCCCACGAACTGCAGTGACGAGGAATTCTACTCTGATGACAACCTGGCAAGCGATTGGCATCGACACTGACTTGGGAGGTGAGTCGGCCGATGATTTGGCCAGAATGGACATCGCTGCACATATCCGGGACAATGCCAGTATTGGTTGCAAGTGCAAAAACAATCAATGGACTCTGCTGCTCCCTCAACTTGCTCAAGTTGATAATTTGAGTACCCTTGTGCGGAACATCGCTTGCACGAGCAGTAGGCAGCGAAAGCAGTACTCTCTAGCGAGTGGAGAAAACTGTGTGCAGATGGGCTTTGGTGTGGGGAATATGAGTGCGACGTCGAGTATGTTGAGGAAGACTGTGTGCAGCAGTGTATACTGTATATCTGAAAGTACAGGTGGAGTGTGATGGAGAGGACGTGGAGTGCCAACTTCTTCGGCCATCTACAGATGTTGACCGTGTTTTCGCTGGCGGTTCTCCAGTTGTACTCCAAACAGGAGGTATTTCGGACAACCAGCTCAGTTGCCATAGCAATTTTGGATGTGGCTGAGTACCTGTCAGCTCATGCTATAAGACCCTGGACAGAGGAACTGACCCAGAAAGGATGAACCAAGGGACATATCAACTGTGTTCAAAAATGACAATCCCATTGCTGTACATAGAATTTCACCATTTCAACAGTGCTGCATATAATACCATTGTAGCAACACTTAGACATGTCAGATCAATCCAAAACTTTCAGGCAGCGAACATTATGTGTGTTTGATCATTTTTGAACAAAAAACTGAAAATCGAACTTTTGGTCTGTGGTCATATTTTAGCGTGCTCTGGCTCATGTTCTTTTCTTTGCCATTCAAAAAAATTGGTATAAATAATAATAATTATTGTGCGCTTTGTTGAGTGAACATCGTCTGTTTCCGAAAAGAAAGCGGAAGGTGCCACAGCAGCGTATGTCAGTTAGCGAAAATGAAGAGACATTCAGTACTTGTTCAGTACTTGTATAATCATTATGTACTAGTAGATTGTGGGAACGCATGAGCTTTCGCATCAAAGTTTGAGCTTCGTTCGTCGACATGGAGCAAGCAAGTAGCTCTTTGGTGAGCGCTGAGCCTCGTTCAGAAACTGGTTATGAAAGCACAAGAGGTCGTAATCGAATTTCGTCTCTTCAGTCGCTAGAATCATCTTGCAGCGGTGGCAACAGTCTCTCTCGAGCTGCTTTCCTCTGTCCACAACTCTTGAGTTGCCTTCCTTGCTTTGTGGCCAAGTGCTAAAGGGCACATTGGCACGTTAGCCATGTGCTTGTACTGACGCAGTGTACGCTAGCTATCTGGCAGTTCAGGTATTGTCACTCACCATAAACATGATGAATGGTTACTCTACGACTCGTACCTCTGGTGACCACTCAGCGACATGGATATTATGAGTGTGCTCGTCGTCAGGATTGATCACTGGATAGTGAACACGAGTGACTAGTGAAGTGTAGTATTGCGCGGAGCTCTGCACTGACTGATACCTGCTTCTCTATTCACCGGCAGTACTAACCATTAGGTTAGTACCTCCGACCAGTCAAACTGTGGTGGCTCGGAAACTGAGCAGCTCATCATCAGCACAAGCAGAAATGATATGAGTGGTGGTGACTTTACTGCAGGAAACGTTGGACTTGTCACATTCCTCAGTGTTGGCACGTCTTCAAACGCAATCAGTTTCTGAAAGCGGCTGTACATGTTCTGCTGGCCCGTACTCAGTCTACTCGGCACTCTCACAATGTACAATGTACAATCGGTATTCGTCAACGTTCACCTATAGCCAAGGTAAATGTTTTTTTTTTAAGAATACAAGGATTATTCCACCCTCTACACCCACCGCATACCAGTTACTTTTCTATGTTCATTGAGTGTGTGTATGTGTGCGCGCGTGCGCGCGAGCACGTGTGTGTGTGTGCATGCATGCATGCGTGTGTGTGTGTGTGTGTGTGTGTGTGTGTGTGTGACGTGGTGTGTGTGACGTGGTGTGTGTATGCTGTGTGTGCGCGCGTGTGTGTGGGGGTGGGTGGGTGTGCCATGGTGTGTGTATGCATGTGTGTATAACTTATATATGTATGTGTGTGGGTGGGTGTGCGCCTGCATGACAGCGTACACCCTTTGCATGAGCGCATGCACAGATTTCGGTTTATATAATAATGATAATAAGCAGGAAAACTTGCTAACACTCTCCACATTTGCAGAACAGAATTCAAAGTTTGAAAAAAATAACTGTAAAGTGATATTGGTTGTTGCTGTGGTTACTGTAACATCTTGTCAAACCTGGTCATTACGGACACCCAAGGGACTGAGGCAAAATGTCCTCAATTGTAGGGGTTGTCAGCTACCCAACTGTGTCATCTTTCCTAGGTTCTTTGGAATCTCTCTTCCCTCTCCCGGGGAGACACACATGACCAGTTTTGTCAATGAACAAGCACACGCGCTTGTGTGTTGGTGTGGGTGCGTGTTTGTGTGTGTGTGTGTGTGTGTGGGTCAGTCGTCGGGTCCTGGTGCCGCTTCCCGGAGACAGCGCTAATTCAAGAGCTGCCCCGTATGGGGCCACTTAGACAGTCATGGCAGTGGAGAAGAAGGAAGGAAGGTGTGTGTGTGTGTGTGTGTGTGTGTGTGTGTGTGTGTGTGTGTGTGTGTGTGTGTGTGTGTGTGTGTGTGTGTGTGTGTGTGTGTGCGTATGCATGTGCGTGCATGCAAGTGTGTGTGCATGTGAATGTGTATGGAAAGTGTGTGTGTGGTTGTCTGTGTGTATGTGCACGTTTGGTCCCACAGAAGAATTTAGATGTGTGCATGTGTGCACACCGACTGCGTTTATGTTTGGCAGACCAGGCTAAAACTGCGGTTGTGTCAAATCTTCATCCCTGCAAGTTGCTTGCTGGTACTGGTGACCCTTCTTTCTAGCGATGGACATCTGAAGTCTATGGTCAGTGTTTCATGTGCTTGTCTGTTTGTGTGTGTGTGTGTGTGTGTGTGTGTGTGTGTATGTGTGTGTGTGTGTGCACGAGTGCATGAGTGCATGCGTGGGTGGATGTAGTCTGGTTGACGGGCGTAACTATGTCAAGCAAATGGAGTGCTTGGATCTCTAGTCATCCACCTTGATTGCTCTGTAGTGTCTGGCACCTGTACAATTCTGGGTTGAGGTGAGGTGCAGTAAACATGTTGGGTGACTTGCATACCTGTTCACCTACATGTGCATGTACATATGTACTTCAAGTACATAATTATGTACTTGAAGTACATATGTGCATGTATTATGTACTTCAAGTACATATGTACGTAATAGGGCACATTGGTTGTGTTAGTGTCATAGTGAGGAAAACCGTGTGTTGGATCGCTTTTTTCACTCTGAGTTGACCCTTTGTCGCGTTGAAATCTCACGTAGCAACGTGAGTAGGGCCATTTTCAATCGGGCCGTGAGATCTCACATTTGAAATTGAAAAAAGCGTGAAGCGTGAACTCTTTATGTGTATTGGTGATGCCATACTGTGACCATTATTGCATTTGTTTTCCATGTATGTTACGCACTCTACCATGTAAAGCCCAGTTCACATTCGACGCAACGCTGACGGTACGGGACGTAAGGGCCTGTCAGGAAGGCTGGGGTGAGCTGCAAACTCCTGTACAATTCGTACGACTCGACATGCAGCAGTCGTTGCGATGTTCAACGTCAAACGGTGCGTGTCATGTAGCACGGTCAGTGACGGGGTGACTTTCGGACTTAATTTCTCGTTTTTCGGGAGTTCTTTTCAATTTTTTCTTCTTGAAAGAAGCGGAATCAAGTTCACAATACCAGTTTTTCATGAAGACCAAAAAATTAGCCCTGAAAGTTGTGGCATTCAAATAATAGTCCCAGGAAATGATAGAATAGTTTGTCTGTCACGCTCCTGAACTATCCCTAAACACAATAAGTGACATGATATCTTATCATGCTAAAATTCAACTCAAGTCGTGCTAGCCATTCTGTGAGTTATCATGGGAAGCGCAGTGTTGGAAATGCTACAAATGTCCAAGTACGAATCGGGAGTAGTCGGCGCATAACGCCGTCTGCTGTTCACAATCGAATTTCAGCTGTTTTGTCGCTTGTGTCCCCGTCTACGCCCGTCTACGGTATGAAAAGTTGAATCGATCCAACTCTTCCCGTCGCTTCCCAATCTGTACATTAGTACGGTTGTGTTCCCGTTCCTGGTGTTCACATTGGACGCCGTCAGACCGTCCCGTCGCTTCCCGTTGATCCTTATGTCGCGTCCCGTCGCACCCCGTTAAATGTGAACTAGGCTTAAGTCCTGGCTAGCTGTTTGTCTTGCTCCAATCATTCCTAGCTGTGCCTTGGAACATGTATGTACAAGAGAAGGAAGCCACCAAATCCTGAATATCTGCTTTGTGCATGATTGGGCAACGCCTGGTTTGGTCCAAGGGCGAGTAGAGAGTTTGAACAAAGTTGCTGTTCCCACGTTGCTAGTTGGTTCTGACTCTTCGGCAACCGGTGTTTGGGGAGCAGCTAGCATTGAACAGTACAAATTGTAGTCCCAACACACACCACACGCTGGTCACATTCAATCTGAGCTTGACCTCTACTATGCATAGCTGCTGTGTTTACGTGAGGTCGATTCCACTCGAGGGGGAAGGTGATGTTCGACTCTATGATTTATGCCCGTTGTTTTATATGGCTCTGGTCTTGTAGAGTCGAATGTCTGATGTCATAAAAATTATTGTCTAGAGTACGTCCGAGTATGGTGTGATGTGTGACGCGTATGGTATGTGGTGCATGCAACACTATGCGTTTTTAGAGTGTGAGAACATGCTTCCAATCATGTGTGAGTGATGGTCAAGTTGTGTTGTGAATGCATAGTGCTAGTTTGGTCCGGGAACGAGAGTGATGATTGATTCGTCCATGGTCTGGTTGTCTTTAGTTATGTTTTCTGTACATACTGGCCGTCGCGATTCGTCCGCACGTTTATCATTGCTTCTTCTTTATTGTTCCTTGGTCTTTTCGTTTCGTCTTTGCTTTCCTCTTCTAACGCCCTCGCCGTTTGGTGATAAGAAAAAGTCAGTTGTAGCTTACAGATACATAAGTTGTTGTGTGGCAGGGGTAAGGGGGAGAAGTAGCATTTTCATAGCAGGTCTTGCAAAGGCTGTTTCGAATCTTCTGACCGGCCTATCTTGATTTGTGCTGTGCATGTGGTTTTTTTCGTTTTCTTCTTGCAGGTGGAAGTGTGCACTCACCAGCAAGACAAGAAGAAGCAAGCCGGCAAAGAAAATTCCTAATTCATGCCTTGAAGTAAATTCTAGAAGTCTAACTTACATATCACATGGTGGTGCCCACACATTACATGTGACCCAACCCTCTATAGAAAGTGGGATTCACAGACGTGTGTCTTTTTTGCGATGTGCGATGCACGGTGTGTCGTCATCTGTGAAGGCAGCGTGCGATGCAAACTCGCGAAATGCCATTCACAGAAGAAGTCAGCGATGTGACGTTGCCTTGCTGATTTGACGCTAAGTTCAATGCTGGCGAGTACGTCAGCATGGTATTCATGTGGCTGAGTGGTATTCATGTGCCTGGGTGTGAGTACTCAGCATGGTATTCATGTGCCTGGGTGCAACTTTTACAAATCTGCAAGCAACTCTTGAACCTTTGTACAACTTTGCTGCCAAAAAAAGATCAAAATCGTACATCAAATCGCATGTCGCGTCCGCGAGATCGCGGTATCCTGTGGGGACAGGTGAGCTGCGCGGTGGTTGTGATTTGGGGAATTCCAGGTTTCCCGGACGTCACGTCGCGCATCGCATCGCTAAAATGCTTCCATGAGACCCTCTGTACTTTTTGCTCTTTGGGGAGATGAGTTGGAGTTGGGTATCAGACTATCAGGTTGTCAAATCTATATGTACTCTGTCAGTTTTTCGCCTAGGTGCTGCACTGTCTACTGACTACGGTATATACTCCCCGCCTAGGTGCTGCACTGTCTGACTACTGTATATACCTAGATGCTGCACTGTCTGACTACTGAATATACCTAGGTGCTGCACTGTCTGACTACTGTATATACCTAGGTGCTGCACTGTCTGACTACTGTATATACCTAGGTGCTGCACTGTCTGACTACTGTATATACCTAGGTGCTGCACTGTCTGACTACTGTATATACCTAGGTGCTGCACTGTCTGACTACTGTATATACCTAGGTGCTGCACTGTCTGACTACTGTACATGTGTATATACCTGGGTGCTGCACTGTCTGACTACTGTATATACCTAGGTGCTGCACTGTCTACTGACTACTGTATATACCTAGGTGCTGCACTGTCTGACTACTGTATATACTACAGTGGTGGACATTGAAATCCGCCGATGGGATGATCGGATCGGGGCTGGCGTTGCCCTTACTGCTTTAACGCTAGCGCATACATGCACTGTAGTTCAGGAACACACTGTATGTAGAAATGGACTAGCAGCGCCTGCAGCTGCTTGACTTCTCAATGTATTTCAATCAGTACGCAAGAGTAGTATCTAGGTACAGCGGTGACGATTACTCTTAAAACTCGTATCCATTACGTCTGTTTCCTTTCTTCGCTCCTTACCATTAATACATGCATATTGTCTTGTATGATGCAAGTCATCAGCCATTGCTGCAGTTTGCAGAATAAATCTCTGACACTTGCTGCAGAAAACAGGAACTGAGTGTATATACACTGGTCACATTGAATCTGGTTGGTTGGATTTATTTAAAGTCGTACAACAAACAGGTATATCTGCCTCCTTATATGAAGCCGACTTCTGGCAGTAAAACATTTTAAAGAAAAGAGAAAGGATCTGAGTTCGACCTGTAGATCTACTATGCATAGATGCTGTGTGTATACAGATTATACTATGCATAGATGCTGTGTGGGATGCTGTGTGTATACAGAATATACTATGCATAGATGTTGTGTGTATACGGAATATACTATGCATAGATGCTGTGTGTATACAGAATATACTATGCATAGATGCTGTGTGTATACAGAATATACTATGCATAGATGCTGTGTGGGATGCTGTGTGTATACAGATTCATGCAAAGTCTGTTCTGAATCTTCTGGCCCGCCTAACTTAGCAAAAAATAAGCCGGAAAATTCTGCCGGAGAAGGAAGAACATCTGAAATTCCAATCAGAGTTCGGCAAGTGTTTTCTTCTTGGCTTGCTAATGGCTGAACTCTTGTTGTTTCTGCAGAGTTCAGCAAGTGGTTTTCTTCTTGGCTGAACTCTGGAGAAAGGAAGAAAGCTAAAATTTCGGCCATCCCAAACCCCGACCACCATCCCCTCCTGGAATGATTACTTTTATAGCCTATCCTGGCTCTGAACTTCACACCTGAAATGATTGGTCAACTGCCCTCAGCCAATCAGAGTTCAGCAAGCATTTGGGTGATACCTACCTACTATTCAGTACAGCAGTCTATTATACTCCAGCATTGTTCTTCCTTCTCTAAACAACAAAGAAGGAAGAAAAGCTAAAATTTCGGCCATCCCAAACCCCGACCACCATCCCCTCCTGGAATGATTACTTTTATAGCCCATACTGGCTCTGAACTTCACACCTGAAATGATCAACTGCTCTCAGCCAATCAGAGTTCAGCAAGCATTTTGGGTGATGCCTACTACCCACTGTGCAGTACTACAGTCTATACTCCAGCTAGCCGCAGCTAGCAGAGTCACTGTGCTGCTGCTGTTGTTAGTATGTTGCAATGTAACTAGTCAGCCGCCATGCAGCAACTGACACAACACACTCCATAGACCACAAGAACAGCAGCACGAAGGCAGAACAGCAGAGAGCAAGAAGAAAGAAAAGAAGAAAAAAAACCCAATCATTAATAATAATGTTGTATAATGTACACTACAAATTCAAACAACTGAGAGATAGAGAGAGAGACGTACGCGACCAGTACAGCTTGTGTACGCCTATCAAATGTGAACCATTATGCTCGAATGCACATCAATATTCCAATATTCGAATGTTCGAATGTTTTTCAATCAAAACACTCTAGAATATTCAAATGTTCGAACATTCTTGGCGGCACTGGTGAATAGATGGCACAACTGCCACTACTGTCTGCAATAGCATGAACAGCAACATATCTGACAGCTGATGTTGCTGCATTGTAAGTAGAAGAATGGCATTGCCAGAGATTGGACCAAAGAATTGAAATTGACAAACAAAAAGGAGAAAAATTGGCAACTTTGTCAAGATATTCCTTGAGGAAGCGACCTGCTAAGAAACACCTCGTCCCTAGGTGGCCTTGTGACATGCTAACAGTTAAATGTGCATATTCTACACACGGAACACACGGAACAGTTCAATGTGCATATTCTACACACGGAACACAGTGAACACAGTGAACAGTTCATCACGTACTAACTTTGCGGCGCATGACAAACTGCTGTACGCTGCGGCACAACATGATGATAGGCCGGCGGCCACCATACAGCAGTCCTATCTGTGTTCTTTCCTGCACAAACATAACAACACAAAGCACACACACAATGCACACGCAATGATGAGTCAATGTTCTACAGTCACTGGATAACACCATGTTGCAGTCAAGGACCTCACTGGAACCATAATAAGTACAGCAGATTCTTAGAGCATAACAGCTGTTCAATACGCATACCGTAAAGTACCGTTGATCAGCACCCTCTCTAATAGCGACCCCCTGTCAATTTTCGACCTGTGAAGCGACTTCGGCGTATGCAATGAAGTGCGGTGTTGAACCGACGCATGCACTGCTGTACACAAGAAATGCCAGTGCAGGATGAAAATATGCACAATCCAGCACACCGAGCCTGACCTGCGTTGTTGTACATCGTACTACACTTGACAGCCTTGATCTAATTCCCGTCCCCTGCCGAAAACCCAGCTGGTGGGAAGCGACATGGTGTGTGTGTGGGGGGGGGGAATCAACGGTACTTTACGGTACACACACACACACACACACACACACACGCACACACACACACACACACACACACATACACACACACACACACACACACACACACTGCCAACCTGTCGGAAGGCTGTTTTCAATTATTGTTGGCTGAGTTTTACGAAATAGACAATAAATGCTCGGGACTGGGAGCAGGTGGAGAAAAGTTAGTTACAATATTATGAAGAGTTGAAGATGTGAGGAAAAGGGCGGCGGTGGAGACAAAATAGCTGTCAGTGCGTGATACAAAAAAGTTCCGAAGGGGGGTGAGAGCAAGACGGCGGACGATCAAATACGACAGGAGCAAGATGGCACACGGACGAAAACAACGAAAATAAGACAGGAAACTGAGTGTACAACGGGGACAAGACGACAAAGTGTGTATACGGAGGGTACAGAAGATGGTGTAGCCGCATGTATACAGGAGTCAAAGACAGCGCAACAGCATGTACGACAAAGAGACACAAGCGCAGCCGCATGTACGACAAGGAGACACCAGCGCAGCAGCATGTACGACAAAGAGACACCAGCGCAGCCGCATGTACAGCGAAGAGCTACAAGCGCAGCCGCATGTACAACGATATCAATTTTTAGAAAGTGTATCGGTTCGCTCGAGAGCGGGAGCGGGCTCAGCAGCAGCAGCAGCAGCGTGAGCGGGCTCAGCAGCAAGATAAGTAACAGCAGTGCAAGCAGCAGTAAGAGAATCTTACCTGACCCAGAATACTGTCTTGTAGTGTGAACGAACAGCACGCCGCCACTATCAGTATCCAAAACAACAAAAAAGATATGAAACCAATCAGCAACCAACACCAGGGGCGTCGGACACGCTATGGTCACTACGGTATTGACAGCACCACTCTTGCCACAGGTACCGCATGAATCAATCAAAAGCACTGATTTGGGCTGGAAATTTCAAACTTTTTCAGCGGAGTCAACCCTCCCCCACAAGTAACTTGTACCTCAAATGACTGACGGTACCATCCTAAACTACCGTCCAATGCCACTCAACACACAGACACACTGAACACACAGACACACTGAACACACAGACACACTGAACACACAGACACACTGAACACACAGACACACTGACCACACAGAAATTTGGAGTAAGAGATATTCGCGCTGTACTTGATCTCGCTCTTCTTGTTCACGCTGCATTTTATCGCACTGTATTCTACCGCGCTGTATTCTATCGCGCTGTATTCTATCGCGCTGTTCTTGTTCGCGCTGTACTAACTTCTTCTCTTGTTCACGCTGTTTTTGTTCGCGCTGTACTTGTTTGCGCTGTACTTGTTCGCGCTGTACTTGTTTGCACTGTACTTGCTCGCGCTGTACTTGTTCGCGCCGAACTTGTTCGCGCCGTACTTGTTTGCGCCGTACTTGTTTGCGCCGTACTTGTTTGCGCTGTACTTGTTTGCGCTGTACTTGTTTGCGCTGTACTTGTTTGCGCTGTACTTGTTTGCGCTGTACTTGTTTGCGCTGTACTTGTTTGCGCTGTACTTGTTTGCGCTGTACTTGTTTGCACTGTACTTGTTCGCGCTGTACTTGTTCGCGCTGTACTTGTTTGCACTGTACTTGTTTGCGCTGTACTTGTTTGCGCTGTACTTGTTTGCCCTGTACTTGTTTGCGCTGTACTTGTTTGCGCTGTACTTGTTTGCGCTGTACTTGTTTGCGCTGTATTTGCTCGCGCTGTACTTGTTTGCGCTGTACTTGTTTGCACTGTACTTGTTTGCGCTGTACTTGTTTGCGCTGTTCTTGTTTGCGCTGTACTTGTTCGCGCTGTACTTGTTTGCACTGTACTTGTTTGCACTGTAATTGTTTGCGCTGTTCTTGTTTGCGCTGTACTTGTTTGCGCTGTACTTGTTTGCGCTGTACTTGTTTCCACTGTACTTGTTTGCGCTGTACTTGTTTGCGCTGTACTTGTTTGCGCTGTACTTGTTTGCGCTGTACTTGTTTGCGCTGTACTTGTTTGCGCTGTACTTGTTTGCGCTGTACTTGTTTGCACTGTACTGTTTGCGCTGTACTTGTTTGCGCTGTTCTTGTTTGCGCTGTACTTGCTCGCGCTGTACTTGTTTGCGGTGTACTTGTTTGCACTGTACTTGTTTGCACTGTACTTGTTTGCGCTGTTCTTGTTTGCGCTGTACTTGCTCGCGCTGTACTTGTTTGCGCTGTACTTGTTTGCACTGTACTTGTTTGCACTGTACTTGTTTGCGCTGTACTTGTTTGCGCTGTTCTTGTTTGCGCTGTACTTGTTCGCGCTGTACTTGTTTGCACTGTACTTGTTTGCGCTGTACTTGTTTGCGCTGTTCTTGTTTGCGCTGTACTTGTTTGCACTGTACTTGTTTGCGCTGTACTTGTTTCCACTGTACTTGTTTCCGCTGTACTTGTTTGCGCTGTACTTGTTTGCGCTGTACTTGTTTGCGCTGTACTTGTTTGCGCTGTACTTGTTTGCGCTGTACTTGTTTGCGCTGTACTTGTTTGCACTGTACTGTTTGCGCTGTACTTGTTTGCGCTGTTCTTGTTTGCGCTGTACTTGCTCGCGCTGTACTTGTTTGCGCTGTACTTGTTTGCACTGTACTTGTTTGCACTGTACTTGTTTGCGCTGTTCTTGTTTGCGCTGTACTTGCTCGCGCTGTACTTGTTTGCGCTGTACTTGTTTGCACTGTACTTGTTTGCACTGTACTTGTTTGCGCTGTTCTTGTTTGCGCTGTACTTGTTTGCACTGTACTTGCTCACGCTGTACTTGTTTGCGCTGTACTTGTTCGCGCTGTACTTGTTTGCACTGTACTTGTTTGCGCTGTACTTGTTTGCGCTGTTCTTGTTTGCGCTGTACTTGTTTCCGCTGTACTTGTTTGCACTGTACTTGTTCGCGCTCTTCTTGTTCACGCTGCATTTTATCGCACTGTATTCTACCGCGCTGTATTCTATCGCGCTGTATTCTATCGCGCTGTTCTTGTTCGCGCTGTACTAACTTCTTCTCTTGTTCACGCTGTTTTTGTTTGCGCTGTACTTGTTTGCGCTGTACTTGTTTGCGCTGTACTTGTTTGCACTGTACTTGTTTGCGCTGTACTTGTTTGCACTGTACTTGTTTGCGCTGTACTTGTTTGCGCTGTTCTTGTTTGCGCTGTACTTGTTCGCGCTGTACTTGTTTGCGCTGTATAATATGTTCGCGCTGTACTTTACTGCGCTGAACTTCTTGGCGCTGTACTTTACCACGCAGATAATCAAGGGTGAAATGGGGCGCTGAAGTACTGCCACTCAAATGTATCACTCTGAAGCTGTGGCGCTGAAGTGGCAAGTTATTCAGGTTAAGTGAAACCCAGTAAAGTCCACACGGCCACAGACTTGTTGTACATGGCACACACAGTATTACTCATGATCTCCAGAAAACTTGACATTAAGGGGGCAGCCTGGTCGTAAAATCCCTGAAAAATCGAATTTGTGAATTCATATTGAGGACTACATCAGTTGAAAGAGCATGAACAGCTGCAAAGTCTCTGAAACTTTTGTCTCGATCTCACCAGCCGCAAGAGTTATGGCCGATATTATGCCCTTGTAAGGAAAGATTTTTTTGTTGCACGCTCTCATTTGTTGGCAGCACTGTATTTGAATGTGAGCAGACCGTGCGCAACTTGTCGTATCATGGAAACACGTGAAAGTGTGAATTTTGCTCCAAGTCCAAAAACTCACGTTTTTAAGCCATGTATTGGGCTGCACGGCGAAGCCCACCGCCGTGCAGCAGGACTTTTGCCAAAACCCTCGTGACGTTGCAGATATGTGACTTGATTATTGTAGTTGACGTTGATTTAGTGACTTTGGCAAGTTTGAGTCGTGTCAAGAAGTCAGGTAGGATTCCGTACTAGGCAGTAGTGGAACGTGAGTGGCAGTCTTTGCCGATTTTTGAGGGTATCCTGGATTCGGTTTGTAGCGCTTTGGAAATGGCTTGCTGTGGAGGTCCCAGCACTGGATGTTGTATCAAAGGTACGACCTCGTAGCACACCCTAAACCTAAAAAAAAATCCAAAATTGACTTGGGTCTGTGGGAGTCTGCGAAACAACGCCCACTCCTGCCGTTGTGACAGATTCCAGGGCCACGTTGAAGGGCCCTATCCCACCACCCATGGCTGCTTCTGGACTTTTTTTAGGTTTGGATCCCGCGCACGGACAGAATGGGCAAGAAAATGTGAAAAAAATTGTAAATCCATTTTTTTGGCTCCTGGGTGGCTCGCACACCGTGGCACTATGCCGGAATTGTGAGTTTTTCCGGCCTGGAAAGCCTGTCAGTGAGGCGCAAGAACTTTTAAATCATGACCAGAGGGCCAATATAGTGGCAGGAGTATGTGGTGAAATTTTCACTCAAATCCATTGAGAGACACCAAAGTTACGGTCAATTGAATGCTGCTACCGTGACAAAACATTTATGCCATGGTCCAAACCAAGCGGAATTGCACAATCTTGTATATGTACCTTAAATGTTGAAGTTGAATTGGCAGACTGGCCTTCACTCAGCACAGGATAAGAAGATGTCCATGAAGAGATCCGACTTCAAACAACACAGTGAGTCTGCAGCAGAGATGGAACATAAGACACAAACCAAGTCCATTGGCATCAACTACAGTGTAATCACAGATACAATATATACGCTCACGATGTTATGCTGCTGCAAGTAAACAGAGCCCCACACTTCCCTTGAAGGAGTGAGGTTTGTTGTAAAACTTACTCAAAGCTCAATGCCCAGCAATACATGGCCCGAATCACCGGTTTTGTAATCACAAGGCTACCCCACATTGTCAAGCTTATCAGAGCCCCACACGTCCCTTGAAGGAGTGAGGTTGAATGCAAGACTGACTCATAGCTCAATGCCCAGCAATACATGGCCTGAATCACCGGTTTTGTGATCACAAGGCTACCCCACATTGTCAAGCATACCAGAGCCCCACACTTCCCTTGAAGGAGTGGGGTTGAATGCAAGACTGACTCAAAGCTGACTGCCAAGTGGTACACGGCCCGAATCACCGGTTATGTGTTATCACAAGGCTGCCCCACATAGCCAAGTAAACAGATCCCCACACTTCTCTTGAAGCAGTGAGGTTGAATGCAATACTGACTCATAGCTCAATGCCAAGTAATACACGGCCCGAATCACCGGGTATGTGTAATCACAATGACTGCTCCACATTGTCAAGCATATCAGAGCCCCACACTTCCCTTGAAGGAGTGAGGTTGAATGCAAGACTGACTCATAGCTCAATGCCAAGTGGTACACGGCCAGAATCACCAGGTATGTGTTATCACAAGGCTGCCCCACATAGCCAAGTAAACAGAGCCCCACACTTCCTTTGAATGAGTGAGGTTAGCCGTAAGACTGACTCGTACCTCACTGCCAAGCTATACACGGCCCGAATCACCGGGCATGTGTAATCACAAGGCTGCCGACAACGTCAAGCACATCAGAGCACCACACTTTCCTTGAAGTACTGAGTTCAAATGCAAGTCTAACTCGTCGCTCTTTGCTAATAACAGACGCCACGAATCACGGGGTATGTAGTCCCAAGTCTTCACCCCGTTATCGAGGATATCAGAGCCCCTCAACTGTCATTGAAGTGCACTACTGAGGTGCGAAGATCTCTCGGGCTAGTACTAATAATCCTTCACTTCAAAATGTCAGAGGATTTATACCTCATTCTCAACATGAGGGACAAAGGCCATTGTCGTTAAAACCTCATCATCCATCATGAAGTAACATACAACCATGGAATGGATGCTGTAAGTTCCGTCTCTCTGCTCATTCCTTGCCATGTACAACGTATATTGAATCACTCCGTTCGGAGTCACAACATTGCCCCACATTGACAAGCATACAAGAACCTCAAAATAGACATTATAGGAATGAGGCTGAATGCGAGAAAGACTCATTCCATTGCCAAATACCGGACACTAGGAATGTACGGGTATGCAGTCACTAGACTTGCCGACATGGTCAAGCACATCACCAGGCAACACTTCCCTTCAAGGAGTGAGGTTGAATGCAAGACTGGCTCATAGCTCACTGCCAAACAATACACGGCCCGAATCACCGGGTATGTGTAATCACAAGGCTGCCCCAAATTGTCAAGCAGATCAGAGCCCCACAGTTCCCTTGAAGGAGTGAGGTTGAATGCAAGACTGGCTCATAGCTCACTGCCAAACAATACACGGCCCGAATCACCGGGTATGTGTAATCACAAGGCTGCCCCAAATTGTCAAGCAGATCAGAGCCCCACAGTTCCCTTGAAGGAGTGAGGTTGAATGCAAGACTGGCTCATAGCTGTCTGCCAAGCAAGATATGGCCCGAATCACAGGGTATCTGACCACAAGGCTGCCCCACATTGTCAATCATATCAGGCCCTCAAACTTCCCTTGAAGGAGTGAGGTTGACTGCAAAACTCAAAGCTCACTGCCAAGCACCTCAGAGCCCGAATCAACGGGTATCTGATCACAATACTACCCCTCATTGTCGAGCATATAAGAGACCCACACTTCCCTAGAAGGAGTGAGGTTGAATGCAAGACTGACTCATAGCTGAATGCCAAGTGGTAAACGGCCCGAACCACCGGGTATGTGTTATCACTAGGCTGCCCCACATAGCCAAATGAACAGAGCCCCACACTTCCCTTGAAGGAGTGAGGTTGAATGCCAGACTGACTCATAGCTGACTGCCAAGTGCTACACGGCCCGAATCACCAGGTATGTGTTATCACAAGGCTACCCCACATAGCCAAGTAAACAGAGACCCACACTTCCCTTGAAGGAGTGAGGTTGAATGTAATACTGAATCAAAGCTCAATGCCCAGCAATACATGGACCGAATCTCCGGGTTTGTGATCACAAGGCTGCCCCACATTATCAATCATATCAGAGCCCCACACTTCCCTTGAAGGAGTGAGGGTAAATGCAAGACTGACTCATAGCTCAATGCCAAGTAATACACGGCCCGAATCACCGGGTATGTGTAATCACAAGGCTGCTCCACATTGTCAAGCATACCAGAGCCCCACACTTCCTTTAAAGGAGTGGGGTTGAATGCAAACCTCATAGCTCACTGCCAAGCAATACCTAGCCCGAATCACCGGGTATCTGACCACAAGGCTGCCTCTCATTGTCAAGCTCATCAAAGCCCCACACTTCCCCCGAAGGAGTATGTGTAATCGCAACGCTGACCCACATTGCCAAGTATATCAGAGCCCCACACTTCCCTTGAAGGAGTGAGGTTGAATGCAAGACTGACTCATAGCTGACTGCCAAGTAGCACACGGTCCGAATCACCGGGTATGTGTGATCACAAGGCTGCTCCACATTGTCAAGCTTATCAGAGCTCCACACTTCCCTTGAAGAAGTGAGGTTGAATGCAAGACTGACTCATAGCTCAATGCCAAGTAATACACGGCCCGAATCACCGGGTATGTGTAATCAAAAGGCTGCTTCGCATTGTCAAGCATACCAGAGCCCCACAATTCCCTTGAATAAGTGAGGTTGAAATCAAAAATTAATAGCTCACTGCCTAGCAATACATAGATCGAATCACCAGGTATCTGATCACAAGGCTGCCTCTCATTGTCAAGTTCATCAGAGCCCCACACTTCCCTTGAAGGAGTATGTGTAATCGCAACGCTGATCCACATTGTCAAGCATATCAGAGCCCCACACTTCCCTTGAAGGAGTGAGGTTGAATGCAAGACTGACTCATAGCTCAATGCCAGGTAATACACGGCCCGAATCACCGGGTATGTGTAATCACAAGGCTGCCTCTCATTGTCAAGCTTATCAGACCCCACACTTCCCTTGAAGGAGTATGTGTAATCGCAACGCTGACCGACATTGCCAAGCATATCAGAGCCCCACACTTCCCTTGAAGGAGTTAGGTTGAATGCAAGACTGACTCCTAGCTGACTGCCAAGTGGTGCACGGTCCGAATCACCGGGTATGTGTAATCACAAGGCTGCCTCTCATTGTCAAGCTTATCAGAGTCCCACACTTCCCTTGAAGAAGTATGTGTAATCGCAACGCTGACCCACATTGCCAAGCATATCAGAGCCCCACACCTCCCTTGAAGGAGTGAGGTTGAATGCAAGACTGACTCATAGCTGACTGCCAAGTGGTGCACGGTCCGAATCACCGGGTATGTGTAATCACAAGGCTGCCTCTCATTGTCAAGCTTATCACAGCCCCACACTTCCCTTGAAGGAGTATGTGTAATCGAAACGCTGGCCCACATTGTCAAGCTTATCAGAGCCCCACACTTCCCTTGAAGGAGTGAGGTTGAATGCAAAACTCATAGCTCACTGCCAAGCAATACATGGCCCGAATCACCGGGTATCTGAACACAAGGCTGCCTCTCATTGTCAAGCTTATCAGAGCCCCACACTTCCCTTGAAGGAGTATGTGTAATCGCAACGCTGACCCACATTGCCAAGCATATCAGAGCCCCACACTTCCCTTGAAGGAGTGAGGTTGAATGCAAGACTGACTCATAGCTCAATGCCAAGTAATACACGGCCCGAATCACCGGGTATGTGTGATCACAAGGCTGCTCCACATTGTCAAGCATACCAGAGCCCCACACTTCCCTTCAAGGAGTGAGATTGAATGCAAAACTCATAGCGCACTGCCAAGCAATACCTAGCCCGAATCACCGGGTATCTGATCACAAGGCTGCCTCTCATTGTCAAGCTTATCAGAGCCCCACACTTCCCCCGAAGGAGTATGTGTAATCGCAACGCTGACCCACATTGCCAACTATATCAGAGCCCCCCACTTCCCTTGATGGAGTGAGGTTAAATGCAAGGCTGACTCATAGCTCTATGCCAAGTAATACACGGCCCGAATCACCGGGTATGTGTAATCACAAGGCTGAACCACATTGTCAAGCATATCAGAGCCCCACACTTCCCTTGAAGGAGTGAGGTTGAATGCAAGACTGACTCATAGCTCAATGCCAAGTAATACACGGCCCGAATCACCGGGTATGTGTAATCACAAGGCTGCTCCACATTGTCAAGCTTATCAGAGCCCCACACTTCCCTTGAAGGAGTGAGGTTGAATGCAAAACTCATAGCTCACTGCCGAGCAATACATAACCCGAATCACCGGGTATCTGATCACAAGGCTGCCTCTCATTGTCAAGCTTATCAGAGCCCCACACTTCCCTTGAAGGAGTATGTGTAATCCCAACGCTGACCCACATTGTCAAGCATATCAGAGCCCCACACTTCCCTTGAAGGAGTGAGGTTGAAGTCAAGACTGACTCATAGCTCAATGCCAAGTAATACACGGCCCGAATCACCGGGTATGTTTAATCACAAGGCTGCTCCACATTGTCAAGCATACCAGAGCCCCACACTTCCCTTGAAGGAGTGAGGTTAAATGCAAAACTCGTAGCTCACTGCCAAGCAATACATAGCCCGAATCCCCGGCTATCGGATCACACGGCAGCCTCTCATTGTCAAGCTTATCAGAGCCCCACATTTCCCTTGAAGGAGTATGTGTAATCGCATCGCTGACCCACATTGCCAAGCGTATCAGAG